CGCTGCCGCCGCCATGTTCCTCTCCGACTGCCGCCGCGACTTCTACGACGTGATCGTGAGCCAGGTGCGGGCCGAGGCCGTGCGGCCCTGCCTCCCCACGGGCGCCCCCTTTCCCTCAGGAAGCCCCCAGGGCCCTCTCAGCGCGGTCTCCCCGCTCCCGCGGAGGGGTCCGTAGGTCCCCGCGGATCCCTGGGCCGCCGTGGGGGACGGTTGTGTGGAGCCCCGAGCGCCTTCGTGGCGGAGAAATCCGCGGCAGAGCTGCAGCCCTGCCTAGGCCTCCCCTGGTGTTTAGGCAAAACCTGCCTTTTGTACTTATCGGGCCTTAAAAATCTCAGTTTTAACCAAGGCACCCCTGAAACTATTTCTTTTTATCCCTTTAATTATTGTCATATTTGCCCGCATATTGTGTTTTGCTCAGTGTCTCCTTTGAGGCTTTTCTTCCAAACTTTGGATTGCTGTTGGTCGAGTACTCTTGTTTTTTTTCCTCCTGCTCTCTGATCAGCTTTATTCAGAGCAGGTCTGTGTAGAGAAGTAGTAAAGCTTTTGTTTGACCACAGGCTTTTTGGGGGGCAGTCTTTAAGTATTTCCACCTGTGAAACTCTGTAAGTAGTGTGTGTATATGTATATACTATATGGCATGTGATACATACTGTATAGTAAATGATATATGAGTGTGTCAATGTGTTTCCCCCAAATTCTCCAGCTGTGGGCAAGGTCTCAAAAAAGCAGCTGGTGTTTGGGATGTGACTTCAGCGTTGTGTTATCAATAAGGTTTGCTGCCTGTAAGATGGAGCTGTAAACATTGTTCCAATATCTGCAGTGATCCAGAGGAAGTTATTTTATTTGCAGTGCCCCTTCCAAAGCAGTTACATTTTATGCTTATAAGATTTTTTTGGCCAAATTCTCTCTTTTCTGTCTTTCCTTGCATTTTTGCATAAGACCTGAAATCTTGCATAAGGAAACTAGTGTGTTTAGGAACAACTGGAAGTGGTGTATGTAGCAGTGTGTTAGAATTGTCACCTGCACCAATATATTAAAGCTGTTGTTATTTTTGCAGCGTGTTCTTCTTCTTGTTGCCTCAGATGTTGATGCGTTATGTGCTTGTAAAATACTCCAAGTAAGTGTTTGTTCACTACTGTTGTAGGCCACTTGTGAAAGAAATGATGTTCTTGGATCCTTTTGTTATGTCTGAACTGGGGAAAGAGGAAATGAGTTGGAACCTTTAAAATAATTTTATAGATTGCAGCATTTGCTCTGTGAGTCATGGCACTGAGTATTAAAGCTTGTATAACTTTTATTTATAAAGTTCATGTAGACTTGGCATGTGGGATGTCTTCCAGGTAAAGATCTCTATTAAATAGGATTATAGGATAGTATAGTATTGTAATAGAGCGTGTATAGCATTGTAGTAGAGCGCATCCACCTGCTACCTTAACATCTCTTTGTTCCTTTTCAGGCTTTGTTTCAATGTGATCATGTACAGTATACACTAGTCCCAGTGTCTGGATGGCAAGAACTTGAAACTGCCTTTCTTGAGCATAAAGATCAGGTAAAAATCATACTGAAAACTGTCTACGTGAGGCATACTGTGATGCATAAATGCACTTGCTCCTTTTGAACTCCCATTTAAACTAATGCTGGTATTAGTTACCTCAAAACAGTCAACTAATTTAAATTTGCCAATAGCAAAGATGGTACTATTGGATGCCCAACATCCTGGAATTGGGTTAATTTGCATGAAATCTGAAATCTTTTTTTTTTCTTTTTTCACCTCCTGTAAGACATCTAATGTTGGGAAGCAAATACAAATTTTGAGTGGCAAGTGCTTTGGAGGTTTTGTAAGGTGTTTTCAGTCTTCCATGTTCCTGCTAATTTTACTTTCCCTTCCTTCCCTTCTCCCCTTTTCTTTTTGCACTCTCTGCAGTTCAAGTATTTTGTTCTTATTAATTGTGGTGCCAATGTTGACCTGCTGGAGATCTTGCAGCCTGAAGATGATGTGCTTTTTTTTGTATGTGACAGCCACAGACCTATCAATGTAGTGAATGTTTACAATGAGACACAGGTAAACTAAGCTTTTTAAAAAAACATGGGTAATGAATCTGTAAAATGTTCAATGATGGTAAATGGCACATTTTTTTTTTGTCTTGCAAAGCTGCTTAAAAGTCCAACAGTTTATAGGGAAGTAGTATGAATGATGCTTGCAGTAGAAATGTATTTAATGATTTAAATATATATATATATTCTGTAATAAACTGTTAGCAATTGTTGTAGTATAGTATAGGATTTACTGTCACAGTGAAAAATTATCACAAGTCAAACAAGATTATTTCCTTCATAATGTAACATTTATTATCTCTCAACATCTAGCAATGTTTAGAATTTAAGCTATTCAATAGGAATTATGTCAACATGCATTTAACAAGCATGGAAAATGATAATTCTTTCACTAATGCTATACTTGGAATCTGCCTGCTGCAAAAGAGTAAGTTCTTACTCTTACTCTGTCATAAATAATTATGATCCTTATAAATAATTATGATTCCTATAATAAAGAATTGTATTTGTGTTGTCTTAAGAACATGTCACAGCCAAAATAATTAAAAATAAATAATAACTAAAAGGGTCTGAGGTGCTCCACAGTTATAACTTGAAATGCCTTTTCATTACTAACCAAGCTAATTTATTTTAAATATGCTTTTTCTTGTTAGATTAAGCTGTTAGTTAAACAGGATGATGATCTTGATGTTCCTGCTTATGACGATATCTTCAGAGATGAAGAGGATGAAGACGACGACTCTGAGAATGAAAGTGATGGGTCAGAACCTTCAGAGAAGCGTAGACGATTTGAGGAGGTGTGTCTCTTGTTTCTGCAGTTTTGTTGTTAGAAGGAGAATAAATGAATATATACTCATACTTTGTGCCAAGATAAATAACAATGCTTGGATTTTAAAATGGATGTTCCATTAGATCACAAACTTAAGTGTAAGATAACAAATTAACAAAGTTATGACCAGTGTTTAGTAGTTTCACATGCAGAAAATATTTATTTGCACTTCTCGTGAATATTTTCTTCCTTAAAATTTTATTGTGTGTGTGTATATATATATATATATGTATATACTGTCTCTTTTTATAATCAGTGAATTGAAGATATTATTTCTGCTTTTGTTCTCTGGGTTTTTCAACCTAGTGAAGACCTTCATTTACATAACTCCCCTCCCTCCTTCCCTCTCTCCCCTCTCCTTTTTCTATTTTCTCGTTTAAATTATTGCTTGAGGATAGAAGCTCACAAATAATTCAGTATATTTTGGCCATATTTTTAGGAATGCACTAGCAAAAGTGTATTGTGTTGAGATAGATGACGATAATACATGCCATTTTTTTTTGTATTATCTAAATCAATTTGCAGGATATAATAGAGAGAACAATGAGAAGACGACAGAAGCGAGAATGGGAGGCACGCAGGTATGTTTACATATTTTGTGTGTGTTGCAGATATCTCTTTGAGGGAAATCTTGTGGAAAATAAAAACATGGTATACTGTTCAAATAGCAATGTGCTTTAGTTCCAAGTTTCTTAAAGTAGAAGGAGAGATTGTTTGAATACCTACTGTAAATATCTTCTAAATGGGGCTTAGTTGTAAATACTTATAAATTTGAGTAGCAGTATTTGCAATGCTTGACTGTTAAGCAGATGTGGTGTTATTGTCTTGTCTGTTTTAGGGTAAAGTTCTTGTGTTTTCTTCCTTTGCAATACCGTATTGTCAATGGGTATGAGCAGGAGTGGATCAGATGAGGAAATGGTCTTTGAGGAATCGAAGATTTTATGTTTTGTATCCGTATTTCAGTATAGCTTTCACATTGTTACTAAAATCCGATTCCCTTGCAGAAATAAACTTTCTAGCCCAAGTTTACTTTTTTTTTCTTGTTGTTAATAGGAAATTAAACCGAGAAGCAGGAAATAAAACTTTATATTTTGAATTAGAAACACTGATCAGCTCACCACTTTAGTCAAATGTGTTTCTTTTCCTTTTAGACGAGAAATTCTTTTTGATTATGAGCAATATGAATATCATGGGACCTCAGTAAGTATGAACTCATTTGCTATTAAAAAAACTAGATACCAAAGTAGAGGTAATTGGGTAATAGCCAATGTTCTAATT